CAGACTTAAGGCACCGTTCCTCTCCAATCATATAAATCCCAAGTCACATTTACTCACACACTCCTTCCACAGAGCCTTTATTTACTCTTAATGCCTTTTCTCAAACTTATTATTATTTAAATGTGTTTGTAGGTTTTTCAGTACCCACTTACCATTGCCATTGAAGTTTCTAGACCTACATAAAAACTGAAACTGTGAAGTAGGTAACCAAAATAATTTCTAAAAAGCTTTGGAGAATACTTGGGAAAGGGGAGGAAATTTTTTGTTTTGTTTTGAATTGAGTTTTTACAGATCATTGACTGTACTTTATTCAGTAGTGACATTTTTTAATAGGCATGGTTTTGCTTTTGTTATTTCATTTTTCCAGACTCTCCACTTTTGCTTTATTCAGCATAGAATTGCTTAAGCTGTAGTTCTAGTATAGTTTGTTTCATCCCATTTCCCAAGTTGATTGCTGCCTCTGTGAACTTTCCAACGTTTATGTGTCAAACTCATATATGCTGACAACAATTTTTAAAAGATGTTAATATTAATGAAAAGGAGGATGTGCACACACACACAAAAAAAAAGTCATTTAGTTCCATGATTATCCAGGGCTTATCTAAGAACTACAGCAGGATTTGTTCTGTGGTCCAGCTGATCAGGCAGACACCAGGTACTGCAAGAAGCCTTTTTTCCTGTTTCCATGGAGAGGATTAATGCTAAGGCATACAGTCAGCTGTCAGCATGATTCATCATCTAAATTCTTCACACTAAGGAAAAAAGAAACCAACTCAGCAAAATGTGTGTGCCAAAGATACTGTGTTTTGTCTTTCCAGCAGAGGGAGAAGGCCACAGGAGACTCCAACCACGTAAGCAGGAAACTCTGAAATAAATAAAATAAACAAAAATGTGACATGGGCGTGTGGAAGACAATGTGAGTTTCTAGTGCTGCTTGGTGAGCAGTGTCTGTCCCAAGGGAAACTGGACAGTATTGCTGTCTCTGGCTCCTTGCTGCTCTCCCATGTTCTCAAAGCAGTGAGGAGTGCCACCTTCTTCCAAAGGAAGGCTGGTGGGCCTCCACTACTTTGACATGGGGTCACTCCTGCTCACCAGTCCACCCCATAAGGTCTCTCCACGGAGCAAATCCATTCTCCATCCAGCCTGCACATGCTGGTGCGAGGCAATGGGTGAAGCCTCAAGGCATGGGGGTACAGGTGCCATGTGCTTGCACCGCCTGTGGCCTGGGCTTCCTCTTCCTCTCACAAGCATCCATGGACAGTAGAAGTCCCCAGAGGTGATGTCAACATGTCTGGTGGTGCTGCGCCTCCCGAATGCCAGACAGCTGGCCCAGGGGCTCAGTGTCTGAAACACCTCAAGGAGCACCCATAAGGGCATGGTCCTGCATTATATTGAGACAATGGTGGACTTACCAGCTGTAGTGCTACAGACACTAGCACCGGTATTATAGTTTCCAGACAGCCTGGATGGTGTTTTCCAGAGCTGCTGAAACAGGGCTGCCAGGGTGGCCTTTCGCATACAGGCTTTAGTGCCTACCATTGGCAGCTCTGGATCTCAGCAGACAACTGCCCTGGACCAGGATGTCACATCCCTGTGTCAATGCAGTAGCTGCTAGGAGCTGCTCCCTGTGTCCCATTCTCCTGGCTTTCTGTGCAGCCTCTGCTCCTGCTTCACCTCCCCCAGCTCTGCGAGCAGAGCCACAGGCCTTGTGAGGACAGGAGCAGTATATAATTAAACACCAGCCAGTGAGGAAACCAACCTCCCAAACCACAGAGAGACAGAGCTCGGCTCGGCAACACAGCCTGCGGTCATTTATCACAGAGACATTTTCCAAAGCAAAACAGGCCATCACTGAAATAGCTGTTTCTCCCCAGTGTTTTTGGCCAGCTCTCCCTCTCTCCATCCGCAGCTCCATCCAGGCTCAGGCCCAGGCACTTCCCAGTCTCCTTTCATGTCTATCTGCCTTGCCACCGCCATGAAGCCACAGCATGTCAGGATGATCTGCATATACCCAGGAGGAGGAGGAGGAGGAGTTAGAGTTGATACACAGTCTTTGAGACAAAATGTCTTGCCAGCCATAGACTGTAAATCAGATTCCACCAGCGAACTTCAGTGAGGGAATTGAACAGAGCTTACGTGCCCACATTGGATTGCAGTCCTGGATGTCAGAAGGACCTTTTCACATGAGGAGTGCTGAAGCCCGAGCTCCAGAACGCTGGTACCTCCCAAGACAAGTTGCCCCAGCATGCTGAAACCCCTACAGCAACCCTGTTCAGAAAGAAAAAGTGATGTAACTGTCACAAATGGTTTTAAAAAAGAAAAAGCAATAGTGTATAGGTATAGGAATGTATAACATTGCCATGGGAAGAGATTAAACACCTTTATTTGGCTGGAATGACAAATGTCCAAGACCTGGGGAAAGGTGGTGCCGAGCTGGCCTGCAGTGGGTCTCCAGTCAAAATGACTCTGGACAGGGATGCCCTAAACCACAGTGTTCCTTTTCCCGCAGGCTACATCAGTGTATTTTTGCTTTCAGACTTGCCTCAGCAACTCGGTAGGTGCATTTTTTTTAAATGTCAAGGGCCACTCTCTTAAGGCTCTACTGGTTTTGTGCTGCACAAATGTATTTTAAACTGGACACAAATGTCCCTATAAATATTAGTAATATGAGAAGTGGGCCCCATGGACAAGCTGATTCTAGAGAACAGTAATTTTGAAGTCTTTGTGGCATCAAATGAATATGGTATTTATGAAAAGTAGTTTGAAGTGGGAGATATTCTGGAGCCTGGGTTAAAGTCTTACTTTAGCACTCACTGTTTTGCAATTACTGACGTGAAAATATATCCTTCCAGGAGAACCAGTTCTAAAAAAGTACTTTTAATGTGAATGAGCACTCAGAATATCCTGGAAATATATATATGTAATTCATGAGATGACTAATGGCATTTAGCAACGTTCATTAGCTATCTAGGTCTGAACAGCATTAAGTATAACACAATACCACCCAAATGTCAGGAGTGTCAGATGAATAAGCCAGGCAGCCTGCACATGCAACAAAGCGTGGAGGAAAAATATTCCCTATTTAAGAGCTGAGCAGATCTGCAGTCTCTCAAGCACGGTGCCTGTAACATACCTCCACACTCCACATTAACTGATGCCCCACACTGAAGCTTGAATTGGAAAAAGTAATTTATCTTTCCCTTTAATGTCTGGTGGAAGAGACAGTGCTCCCTGGGTGCAGCAAAACGTGGCAATTCCTCTGGTTGCATTTGTTGCTGAAACTGGTCACAGGCTGATGCTTTGGGGTTTTCAGTAAGGCTGTCTGGAATTTCCATCCTCTGGAAATATTCTAGAGTTTGGAGGTAAAGATTTGTCCCAGTTCTGAATTAAAAACTAAATAAACGAGACACCTTTTGCAGAAAACCTAGGGGATAAAAAGGCACCAACTGTTGGAACAACACACATTAAATACTACATCTGGCTAGGAGCCTTTTGGCCTGACGAAAAAACAAATTCTGAAGTTGTCTAGCAGCAAATCATTCCAGTACGTAATTACCCACTCTCTTACCTGTTAGTTCTTGGGACTTCTTTCCTTGAATCAAAACACAAGACAGTAATTATTGCACAACTGCACTAAGAGTTAAAAATGTAACTCTTGACCCATGAGTACACACGCATTGAGTAAATGTCACCTGAAGCAATAGAGTGCAGCAGATGGACGTTTTAACATTGTTCTTGAAAATTAATCATTAATTCAGTTTTTAAAGTAATCATCATAAATCTTCCTAGAACAGATCGTTATTCTGCCTGTTATGATTCGTTATACCAGCGCAGAATGATATCATTATAATTTAAGTTAGCATTTTTCAGGTCACCAAATATCCTCAACGTATTTCCTGCATCTGGGACTGCAGCATCTTCCTTGGAGCTGGCAGCAAGCTTGTGCCACATCCTGCTCCAAGAGCTTCTTATGCCTCTGGCCAGCCACTCCATGGTGCCTGCAGGGAGCCAAAGCCTGTTGGGGTGGGTAGCCTCACTTCAGCCCCTCAGGCAGCAGCAAAATCTGAGGTTAACTGCTATCTACAAGGCTACATGTGGCATCAGTGCCTGCAGAGAGGCAGGGCCACTGCCCTGAAGAGCTGGGACTGGAAAAGGCTTCCCTGGAGATGTGCCCTTACCCACCCCAGCATCCAGCTCAGCTGGGTGCACTGGGGTGCAGCACTTGTTGATGCCTTTGGATAAACTGGGTCTTCTCTCCTCCTCTGGGCAATTCCCACACTGTAAAGCCAAAGGATACAGCAGGCAGAGTGGCAGCCATGGGATCCAAGTTACCCAAAATAGTGGGTTTTCCCCTTTTATTTCCTGTTTTGGTGGAACTTCCTGACCGCGTTATTGAAATGACAATGACGTAAGGGGCACAATGCAGCAACAGGAGCAAGAAGAGCGAGAGCCAACAACATATTTCTGTAGAAGAAAGGAAAAAGAGCTGGTGGCAAGGGGAATTCACAAATTACCTGACAAAAAAGGTAAAAGCCATCCCGTGCCCTGTGAAGGATGCCAACAGGGGAAAAAAAAAAAAAAAAAAAAAACCTAAAGCAAACAAAAAACGAACCAGGATCCCAAATTGCAGCAATCATTTCATCAGGGCATTTTCACTTCCTAAACCGGGAGAGAAATTCCCCTAGGTCATCTGACCCCTGTCAAAAGTGCACCAGGAAGAGGCACTGGCAGCCAGCGAGAGCGGGGCATTCTCTGGCTGCACAAAAGCCTCTCCTGTGTGCTCCAGAGATCAGAGCAGTGTGGGATGTGCGTGAGTGACGACACGTAGCGAGGCGAGGTGCAAACACCCTCCCAGCCAGATCATCTCTTGCACAACCCTCTGCTCCTGTGAAGCCCAGTGGACCTTTTGTTTTCTCCTCCACTGTTCCTCTCCAGGCATGCCTCCAGAGCAGAGCTTCTGAAGAGCTCAGCTCTCCCCAGAAGAGGCGGTCACCGGCAGCATGGTGAGGGTGACAGCAGTGAGGACGTGGATCGAGCCAGTGGTTGCAGGTTCCCAAGTGGCCAGCGCCTTCTATGATACTGCTCTGCTGCTGGTGGTGAAGAACTACTACAACCACACCAACACCACCGCTCCCTCTCACGCACAGGAAGATGCTCAGCAGAAGTCTGTCTCTAATTTTTATATAATCTACAACCTAGTCCTAGGCCTGAGCCCGCTGGTGTCAGCCTACAGCTTGTCCAAGCTGGGGGACAAGATACATCGGAAGATCCCCATCTGCTTCCCTCTTCTTGGCTACTTGGGCTCCAAAACCCTCCTGCTCCTCCGGATCCTGCTGGGCTGGCCAATCGAGGTGATGTATGGGGCTGCTGCCCTCAATGGGCTGACGGGTGGTTTCACCACGCTCTGGGCAGGCATCATGGCTTTGGGATCCCTGAGGTCCTCTGAGAGCAGGAGGTCTCTGCGGCTTATCATTATTGAGCTGGTGTATGGGCTTGCGGGCTTCCTGGGAAGCATGGCGTCTGGCGGCCCCCTCTTCATTGGCTTCAGCGACAGCTATCGAGAGGGCACCGTGCTGGTGGGCTGCAGCATCACCTGCTATGCCTTCTGCCTCCTCTACAGCATTTTTGTCCTGACAGTCCCCAAGCCAGCAGCCTCCTGCCCAGACGAAGCCAAGAGTGCAAAGAAGGTGGGCAGCCAGCTACCAGCCTGCACAGGAGCAGCAGCAGAGAGTTCCCAACCTTCGGAGAGCAGCAGCTCCACTCCAGTATCCCCCTCCAAACTCATCCTCATCATGCTGTTTGTGGCAGCAATCCTCTATGACTTTGCTGTGGTTGGTGCAATACAAGTGCTCCCACTCTTTCTGCTCAGGGAGCCTTTGAGTTGGAATGCTGTGGAGATCGGCTATGGCAATGCTGCTGGGTATGCGATCTACATCACCAGCTTCCTCGGGGTATTTGTATTCTCCAGATACCTGAGGGACATTACCATGATTGTGATCGGAGTGGCATCCTTCAGCGCTGGCATCCTCATCATGGCCTTTGTGCGATGGACGTTCCTGTTCTACATCGGTGAGTCGAATGACCGCTTGCACCCCGAGAAAGGGACTGGGGGGTTTGGGCACTGGGAGAAGGGATTTTGCTCTGCTTCACTGCCAGTTTCAGAGCAGGGAGCTTAGCAGACCATCACACAAGCAGTTCCCAAGACAGCTTCATCATCCTTCCCCTCTCCATACTCTTGTTCTTAGCACCCTGCAATACCCAAAGGAAGCATACACTCCTGCCAAGCTTTAGAATAAGGATAGTTGACTTGTAATTTGTCACTTGGTCATAGCTCAGATCTGAGGAGGGGAACAACGCTCACACCATGGAGGAGTTGGAATAGTTGCAGGCTACCTGTATGAGTCGGACCACACCAGTGCAGTAATGGGAAGTGCTTTCTTCTTGTGAGGGAAGGCTTAAGGCTACAACAGAAACGAACAGGCAAAGCTTTCCTATTAGGCAAGCATCTTAAGACATGATTTACATAAGGCCCTGACACCTGATGAGAAACTTAATAATGAAACATTGGAGGTGCTTCAGCAACTAAAATATGATAACAGAGTACAAATCTTAGAAGACCAAGGGATGGGTAACAATAGATGGGGCAGCATCCCACAACAAAAGAAGGGCAAGTTTATTGTTGAGAGGTACCCTCTGCAGGAACATAGAAAACAAAAGCCAAGAACTGCACTCGTTGTGGCAGCGAAATGGATGATTCCTACCTGACAGATAATTGTTTCTGCATGGCTTTGAGAAACTGAAAATCAGTTATTCTAAAGGGAAAGATGGTAGGATGTTGTATTTGTGTACTAAGCCAAATATTAAGTAAAGCTTTTAAGGAATTTTGTTTGTTTAGGCAATTAGACTGCAAAACAAACAAAGAAAAAATTTAAAATGCTTGTAAATTAATATTAAGTCCATCATAAACACATGCTCCTACACAGCATGCAGGATGCTTATTCCCTGCATTGCAGGAACACCTTGATACACTACACACAGACCAAGTCTTCACTGAGTTGGGTTCTGCTGACAGGAATGTAACCCCAGCTCCCTGAAAGATTCCACGCTAGAGAAAGCCTAAAACACTGCAAGCCAGAAGTACCAAGAGAGTAACCGGCAACAGTGTTACAAAGGTACCGTTTCTGTCGAGGCGATACAGCAAGTGGTGCTCTCTGCTGATCTGACTTAAATCATCAGGCTCAAGGACAGTGCTATATTCCACCTGTGCTGGGATTTTGGGCTGAGACTATGTGACCACAGCTGGTTTGGGCAAAGCACCTCTCCTAGTGGGAGCAATAAGTGATTTCTCTACCACCACTTGGATGAAGTGAGGATCTACATTTCTACCGAAGATTTGTACCTCTTTCTGGTAACCCAAGGGACAGGAAAAGGTGAAGCAAAGGCCCTGCCCAAGCCAGAGGCAGGTAGTGTTCAAAAGCAGTGGTTGTGTTGGGAGAGGAGAAGGAGTACTGATGATAACTACATACTCATTGCATTGCAGCCCGGGCAGTGATGCTCTTTGCCCTCATCCCCTTACCAACCATCAGATCCATGTTATCCAAGCATGTTGAAGGATCATCCTACGGTAAGTACTTTGGTTACCTTACTGATCAAAAACTCCTCAAATACCTCCATTCAGCCTAAGGTACAAAGAGATGGGCAAGTTATTGCTGCAATCTGTGCTTTGCATAACAAAACCAGAACAGCTGTCTCCACAAATGGCAAGGGAGGAGCAGGGAAACTTGCAGGACAGGACTGTCATGTCCAAACTTCTTGACCTTGGTTGCATCACCATTTACCCACATTTTCAGCACGTGCTTCAGGAGATTACTATCAGCATGCAGCTCAAATGCAGGGAAAGTATTTGAGGTGCTGCTTGAAAACACAGTACTACAAGAGAAGCAAGATGTTGGGTTGGAGTACTGTGATATTTACACAATTTATATTTGGCTTCTTTAACTTCCAGTTTTGGGAAGGGTGGATTTCCTTTTTGTTTTTCAGTTATGCTCTTTAACCACGTCTCCAGATGTTACCTGACAATTCATTCCTGTCAGACCATGATTTAACAAACAAAAGATAACTTTTGCATAAAGATAGGCCCCTTTTGGTAAGCAGAATTGAAAATTCTGAGCAGAAATTAAATTCTATTAAATGAAATTATCTAATAAAAATACATTCAAAAATAGTAAAATATATGTATTTTACAACACCTTATTGAAGGCTACCATTTTTACACCAGTGAGCTGGATTTATACACAATAGACAGGACTGGATATGCATTCAAATAGCACCTCAGGCCCAGCACTCCTTGTGCCTCCTCCAAACAAGTTTCCACAGCTAGCCTTTGCATCCTTTTCCCTTCTGTCATACAAACATCCTGCTACTCGGTCACCAGTTCATTTCTACTGCTCGTGCTCCTTAACTTGCTCTGTAGCAAACTCACCTACCTGCCACAAATAGGGCAGCTCACACCCCCAATTATTGTTATTAGTCACAACATTGTTTTTCACCTCCAACACGAGCCGTATGGGCTGTACCCAATTAAAGTGGCAGACCAGAACACAAGCAGGAGCAGGCAGTAGAGCAGCCATTTCCTTCTGGTAGCAGCGTGGTCTCCAGAGGCGCTGGCCACTTGTGCTTCACGGCTGAAGAAAACTGCCAGAGGAGCAAGCTCAGGACACAGCCCTGACCTTGCTCCCAGTTTGCACATCCTGTCAGGGCCGGGTTACTTCCCCTGGCCCCATATACCACAACAGAAACGGAAGGGTGCACTTCAGCAAGAAAGCTGTTCCAGCTACAATTCAGTTTCTGCCCTTCCTCCACCTTAAAGATCATAAAAATCACATATGCCTCCCTATTTCAGGTATTTTAATTTCAGTCCAGTGGACCACTATACTGACCTAGAGCAGAAGCAGACCCTGACTAAAATCTCTCCTGTCCTGAGGATGTTCACCCAAGACTACTTTTCTACCTCCTAGGGAAAAGGAGCACTTACTACCTAGTTTATTATTGCTTTTCCAAGCAGCTACCTCTATATCTAGACTGTTTAAGCAGATATTTTTCTACTTGGATCTTTTGTGCTGTGCCTAAAAGAAGGAATAAACATTTAATTCTGGTCAAGAACAGAAGCAGATACAAGATGGTGCCATCTGGTGCCAGTGATGACCACATTGCTCTTCCATGCAGCAGTGATTGCCAGGGAGGTACCAGAGCTGGTTTTTTTTCCTCCTTGGTAACAAACTATGTTGTTCTTTTACAGGTAAGGCATTTGTCCTGCTGCAGCTGTCCTTAGTCACCACAGGAGTAGTGACATCTACAGTCTACAACAAGATCTATCAAAACACACTGCATTGGTACAGCGGCTTCTGTTTTGTGTTGTCTTTTTTAGTAGGCTGCCTGAGTCTCCTCCCTTTAAGGTAAGGATTAGGAAGAGTATTGTCCAAAAGGACAATCTGTATTTCCTCCATGCTTTCTGGTCTTAGGTCTAAAAAGTATAATACAGATGGGGGAAAAAAAAAAAAATTAAAAAGAAAACAATTTAGAAGAAGCAAAGCAAAAATCTTGCAGAAATGAGTGGACAAATATCAAGGAGACTGAAAGAATAAAACTTGACAGTCATCTAGCCCATGTTTTTAACCTTTTTATGTAACATGAACTCCTGGAAGGAAGAATATTTGGCAGAGTGTAAGAGTCAATCCCAGGGGACAGAGCCTTCACACAAATGTAGTGTTTGACATCACAAAAATAATAAGTAGAACAAGAGAATTATCCCACACAAAGTAAAACTTTTTTTTTTTTTAAATGCATTACAGGTTACTTATTATGATAGAAAAGAATTATCTGAGTCTTGCTTGGGCGTTTCTTTCAGAGAAACCATTAGTACACAGTGAAGGAAATGGTTACTCTCTGATCCAGTGCATGTGCCCAAATGTAGAGCTACAGAAAGACTGAGAGGTACAATTTTGACAAGTTTTAAGCACAAACACAGCGTAATTTGAAAAAAGAAAGCTGAAACAACACCTCCAGCTACTCTTCCAGAAATTTTGAAGGTTCTCCCTCCAAATCTCACCTTGTCCATTGTCTTCCCCAAGACTCTCCATCTCATTGCATTATAGAAAGATCAAGGCTCTTCCAGTGTGAAGTTGAAGTGAATTGTAATAATACCAGTATTTAATTCATGCAACAATATTTTCATTCAGCTATAAGGCAGACACTGGATAGGCTAATGACAAGAATTCTACCTGGGGCCAGACAAGTTTTGCTGCAATTGGAAAAAAATAACCATAGAAAGTATAAAGGCACTACACACACTGTACAAAGAAAAGAAAAAAGTGCTAAGGAAAGCTCCCATGCCATCAGCTCTGCCTCACCCAGAGCACCAAAGGCTTTCTGGCCTTGTGAACACGTTTGACACTTGGTGTCGGCAGAACTAGGGATGAGGGGAAGGGTATTTCATACTCATCAGTCCCCTGGCTCTGCTTCCCTCCTCCTGTTTTCCGGACACAAGAGTGACTCGCTTCTTAACGCATAACCCTGCTGCTTAACAGCTACTCAACTGGGTTTTAATACAGGCTCCAAATAGATGTTAGCACCATTATCAGCACAAACAGGTTATTAGGACTTAAAGTCTGAGAGATGACAAATGGCAGCCATGTCACTGCTTGTACAGAAGAGAGGCTGTACTTAGAGAGAGGCTGGCAGACCCTTGAAAGGGATCGCAGGAGCACTCAGCCAGTTCCACACATCCCGTCAAAATTTCAGCTAAAGAATTGATGGGGAAAAAGTAAACTGTAGTTTGAGAAACGAGTTTGCTAGCTCTCTTGTAACCTGCATTTTTCTTGGTCTTTACAGCATTGTGGCCATCAAACAACGTTCGACCACTGACTCCTTTCAGATTCTGACTGAGTGACAGAGGCTGTACCAGCTACAGCATCTTTTGGTCTTTATCAGCTCTCTGAGATACCTAAGTGGAAGGTTTGCCAAGCATTAGTCCCCAGTTACCATCATTATAGGATGCATCTCATTTGTGTTTCCATTTCACAGCATGCCATAGCCTCTCAGTCAGTGAGCTCATCCAGGACCAACAAACTTGCCCTGTTACTTCTGCAGGACACCATCCTGCTGAGCATACACATTGGCCATTGCATACCAGCAGTCTTCAGAGCACTTTGCTTTCCTGCTACACTGGTTACCAGTAGTGCAGAGGGACAAGAATAGGGTGAAAGTGAAAATGACATTTCTAGACATATCAATGTGAAAGGGGAAAACAGAGGATCAGGTTTCCATTGGTTCCTTCTTGTCTGTTCATTCAGAAGCCTCAGGGCGGTTCTGAGGCTTTGGCTGATGAAGCAGGGGTCTACAAGCCACGTGCACACAGTTGTTAGCAGGACACATCTGCTCTACGAGGGCTACAGAAGATGTACTGATCAATGTTATGTAGAAGGCCGCTAAACACAGAAATACCACTGTAAAGAAATGTAAGATTAAGACTCTTCAAGTAATCCCTACAATAAAACACTCCTGAACAGATGTCCACACCCTGACTTCTGGGAGGTTGTCCTACTGTCCCTGGACAGTGCTTTAACAGAGCTCATGGGAGTTTACCTGTGACTCAAGAGCCAATACTGGCCTTTCAACTCACAGCATTGGGATGTTCTGCTGTTGTAACAGGTTAAGAGCAGCTAAGTGAGGCGTGCTACTCCTGCAGGCATTACAGAGGTGTAGGGACACTGATGCCAAGTTAACAGTCACCTTGTTACCACAGCTTTATGCTCGGTTGAAACCCCTACTAAAAGGAGCCTCATACAATACAGCAACTGGCATAAAATGTCAGCTAAATCCAAACGTGACTCGGAAGACTGACATGCCCTATGCTTAAATTATGCATCTACTTACATGCTAATTGAATTAACAAAGATTAAGAGGCTTCCAATCTCCTGAACTAAGTAAAGGCAAAATAAAAGCCCTTCAGTAACTGAAATAATCCAGAGGCAATGGAAGCAGCTTCAAGTTTGAGCCAGGGATGCAGCAAGCAGAAGTTGATTACTCACTCACAACCCCCCATTCTGAGGAAGCTGATGCCATTTCTGCCCGACCTCCTTCACCCCCACTTGCAATCTTTCCACAGGTCCAGGCTTCACTTTCAAGTAATACCAGATGTACTACAGCATCAGACAGATGACTCAGTTAAATCAGCAATGGAACAAGATTTTAAAGGAAGGGTATTTCTGCAGTAAGACAGTGAGATGCCCAGCAAAGTAAGTGCACACATTTAAATGGCAAAGGTTGAAAAAATAAAAAAAAGAAACTTTATATTCTAGGTAAAGGAGTAATTTTTAATACATTTATTGGTCCATTCCATTAAATTAATTGAGGTAAACAAATGGTGCATTTTTTAAAAAGGTACACACTAATAGAGAATTACAAACAGTTTTACCTCAAAGTGTTTTTCTCCATCAATACTAGTTCCATAGTAAACAATGCACAAAGTATATTTATACAGAGATATATGAAAGGGTATAGAAACATGCCAGCACCAAAAGGTAAAACAACGTTTCCTAGCCTGCGAGTCTGAACAAGAGCACAGTTGCCAGATTTGGTCAAGTACAGGAAACAAAAGCCTCCTTCCCATTTTTACATTCTTTACTACCCAATTCACACAAAGACAAGTCTTTTTACAGCTTCTGTTTTGGTTTTTAATGGTGTGAACGGTGACTAGTTCCAGTGAGTAGTTTACAGAGGTTGAAAGCAGAAGAGTCTAGGCAATGAGCCAGCACTGTTTTGGTCCCAAATACTGACACTTTCAACAAGGAGGGGGCATGAGATCCACCTCTGCTCACAGCCAGTTTGCCTTTACCAGCACAGGTCAACTCTCCAGACTTTAAGGAGGGACAGCGGGATGCAGGCACAGAGGAAGAAAATGAGGATGGTGCTGCTCTATTTTCATATACTGAAGACTAAAGCCCTTTGTTTGCCATTGTAGGACCGTCCCTCTGGCATCTGTCCCCCTGTGCAGTGAGAATGTGGCACTGGCCCCAGCCATGCTGCTTGATCTGAAGGTATGGATACATACCCCAGCAGCAAGGTTAAGGAAATAGTTTTGCTTCAAAGCAGAGTACCGAGGCCTTCAAAAGTGATCTATAACAGTGACTAGCCATTAATGTTTTAGCATGCCACTTACATAAGGATGACATACTTACACCTGTTTGGAAAGTGCACTATTTTCTCCTCAAGTCCTGTGCCTTAGCCATGCAACCTTAAAACTCGCCCAGGTGATGACTGAAGTACCCTGGCACGACTCTGAAGTGCTAGGTATAGAATTAAGCATTGCTATTTCTTCTACAAAATTGGTTAAAGAACACTCCCAAAATGTTTAAAATGCAACATTCACACTGCCAGAAGGCAAGGTTATTCCTGTGATCCCCAGTTTTACTTTACAGAACAACCAAAAATCTTGCAAGTATTAGCAACATCCCTACCTTAAAAAAAGACACTATTTTCCCTATTTATTTGCTGTTGTAGTAAAAGTTAATATACCTACGGAAAGACTTCTACCTTCAGAATTTAAGAATGCTGAACATCTAATGAGCTAGTTTAGCCTATGAAATTTTTCTCAGTGGTTATCAGCACCAGGATTTTAAACAGTCGGCAACATTAATCTCACTTGGTTAAACTGTGCAAGTTTTAACAAAAGCATGACTCCTGTTTAAACCCTGAACAGCCCCTGGTGGGCTGGAATTTGTTTGTACCTTGGCATCTGCAGAACCAATGCCTGAAGCAACGTGCATCACACAGGCTATCCGCTGCTGCAGGCTGCTACCTCACCATACCTCTGCAGGATCATCCCTGCCACTTGTGCTCTGCAGATGCTTTTCTACCACTTATCCTGCTACCCTGTCCTTAGCACAAGTGTCAGTGTGACAAAAAACCAAGTAGACTTCAGTGAAGAATCCATAGTTTATTCCTTGATACAACTCACATCAGAAGAGTTCATGTCTTTCAGGCTACAACTATTACCTTTTCATTTTTCAATGGATACCTGAAAAAGCCATGACGTTTCAATAACTATATTATTGCAAGAGTCAGAACCTGGTAAGCATACACATGAACAATGCATGGTTCTTTACCAAGCATGAACACAAGATCTCAGTGCTTGCTTTGTTGTGCTGGTGCCGGTTAACAGAAGAAACAAATATCCCAGAAATTACACAGAAGTAACTAGGACAGCAGTGAATTATGGATCCTCTGAGAGGGTACTTGGTCTGGCTACGGTTTACAAGGAAAACTGGACTAATTTAAGGACTGTTGAAGGACCCACATGTTACAAAGGCTCACAGAAAGGGTGCAACTACTTTGGGCATCATTTTACTGCACGTGCGCTAAAATGCACATGCATTAACATGAAGTGACTGAATATTCAAAAAGTTACTCAAAGGTGAAGCTCCTGCACTGCACTTGCTTCCCTTCACCAACACCTTTCTTTTACTTTTCACACTTACGGATTGGGCCACCCAAAGGAAAGACTCCTATCCTGTAAGGAGTACTGAATAACATGTCAGAGTTTCACTAGCAGTTCAGATCTTGACCTCCCCCTAACAGACGCCAAGTCCACTCTTTACATCTTACAGGAGTTTCCAGCTATTCTGTAGTTCTCTTGTTTGGCACTACTGCCCCAAACCTCGCAGTGAGGATCTCCCCCACACCTCACCACCTCTCCCACAGGTATTCAGTGATTTACAACAGCTAAAGAGACCACTCCATGTCCCACAGGAACCGAGAGACCCATCACTATACACTCTTCTTACACTGCAGCAACTCTTGCAAAGGACTCCTCTTTTGAATGTTCTGGTTTACCCTCCTTGTAGGGACTTAAGAGATTTTGGTGTTACAGATCAGGTAAGAAATCCTATTAGTGGCAACAGCCTGAGGCACATGTTCCAACCTCTCTTCAGAATCAACCTGCAGGTGCCACAGATCCACATACTCCCAAGAGGGAAGCACAAAGCATGCCTGCTTTCAACAGCTTAGCCAGAAAGATTTATCTGAAATCAAAACATGCTTTGGATGAGTACTAGTTTCAAAACCGTTCTACAGAAACAGTGCATCAGATTACAGCAAATATAAGCTGATATTCAATAGCTCCAGCCTCAACAGTTACACATCAATTTGAGATTCACTGGGTACTCCCCACTCATCAAGAGCTGCAATGTCAATTGCTAAATTCCCCAGAACCAATACCCACTTCAGTTTGACATGGAAGACCTCAGTGTTGTAAGGCATCTGACAAAACCTGCTCACCTATAGGAAAAAAAACCGCCATCCTTTCTACTTATCTTTCACTTTTTTTAATGAGGTAAAGGGAAGACTGCCTAAATATGAATTCAAATTACATTTTGCTGGACTCCCAGTGATGTTGCAGTGTCAACTACAGAATTCCACTTACCACTTGGGAACCAGCTCAGAAAAGCACATTTGATCTCTGTTGGTGCGATACAGGGAAGACTGTAACCCTACAGGTCAGACTGCTAAATGGTATGCAAGTGCTTATTTTAGAAGGGAAAGACCGAGGAAAACATCTGGTAACTGTTTCAAGAGATCTCCTTAAGCACTTCCCTTGCACTACAAGAGGAGTTTGTCATTCTGGGCTTAACAGCAACGTAAAGCAGAGGTCTCATTTACACCAGATAAGTGTATATTGACAAACCATGAACTTAAGCCAAAAACTATAGTTTATTTTGTACCACAGAGCTGCCAGTGGAGGCTGAGTTAAAAAGGAAGACCTCTTTAAATGTCTTAAACTTGAGTTTTGCACCTAGAGAGCAACAGCTCATTAGCCTGACAGCTAAGACACTGCTGCAATATCTGATCTTAAGAATTGCTATAAAGCCACCAAGCTGAGTAGGGGGGCTTCAGGTATAGTTGGTATTTACGAAAGGATAAAGTCCAAACCAGACTGCTACCTGGTAGGTCATCACAGAACACAGAAGTTGCACATACTCAGTTACTGCTCAGATTCTTCACAAGAATGTTGCTGGAGATCAAGCAATCACTCAAGTTTAGCAGTAAGTACTCAGTTATTTATTTGCCAAGTCCCAATATTACACCAATATTAGCCCCAAACACCCTCATGTAGGATTTTTAAAAAGGATTTATCTGCATGTTGTTAAACCAAGACCATGGGAATCGTGGCAGTATTCCTAAGGCCATTAACACCAAGGAGGCATTTACTTGAGGTTGGACTGCAAGAAAAAAGGAAAAAAAGGGACTTACAGAAGCAGTTACACTTCTAAAGGACAATAAAAACTAAGAAAATAGATCTGTACCAAAAGTAGTCTTAAAAGACTTGGCAAGTAGTTCAGTAGAGACAGGTATGAACACTACATGTACCTAACAGGGACCAATCTAACCCTACCAACCTGTTTAAGGCAAGCTTCATACAACCACCTTTGTGTAAGCAGGAATTTGATGGGTTTTGGCTTCTGGCTGCTGAAAAAAAAAAAAAAAAAAAACAACATGACAACATGGGGAGAGAAAACAGAGTTCCGCCTTTACCACAGTAGGCATCTTAAGTGACCAAGCCCAGAATGACTCTAGTTTGGAGAAAAAAAAAAACCAAACAAACAAAAAAACACAACCACACAAGTATCAAACTAATGTTTAAAGCATGGACCAAGAGAATTCTACCATGCAGCTTCCAGAGCTATTTTTATAAACAATACACAAAATACTCATACTTGCTTCCATCATTTCCACGCCCTGAAAGACTGCCTGTTCAACTCATTCCTGAAGCTAGGCTGATTTTGATCCCCAAGTCAGTCACAAGTACACTTCAGCCAACTGACATTACTTCATAATTACCAAGGTAAACAAAGATACTTAGTAGGAACCAACAGCATGCCACACTCACGAAAACCACAGTTCATGCTTGCATCAAAGGCTATCTGCAGCTGGTGTTGTATGTTCTGTCCAGGACCAGCCCAACTCCCACACAGAAAAGTCTCCAGAAACTATTCCATCCAGAGTATGTGGGCAGTAGCAAAACAGAAAATACTCATTTCCAGCCTTTCCCTGGCCATCCAAAAAAAAGGGATAAGGATTGGTTAGGGAGTACTGTATCATAGGAAGAAATTTTTTTTTTTTTTGTAGCAAACAAAACAGAACAGTAATGAAGATGTCATTTGGCACCTTGCAGTAGAGTTTTATTTTCATCTTTTTAGTGTTCCACTCATCAGTTCCTTCCAGACTAGAGAGGTAAGTTTTATCAAGATCCCCGTGTACTTCCACTATGAAACCCCAATCACTCCATAGGACAAAGAAGGAACCATTCAAGATAACTCAAAAAAGATGAAACATACCCCTGTTTAAACACAAAAAGTGAGGGGGGGAAAAAAAAAAAAAAATAATCAAACAGTTTTCAGAGTGTCTGTTCCAGCCCAAATGCAGCTGGCATTTTAGTTAACTTGACAAAAGGAGTCCTTCATACAGTTCCAGTATGTCTAGTGGTACTGAGCATAGAAGTGCTAGACTGTCCATGAAGGTACTTCTTATTTGGTCTCTGGCTTGTCTTGCAATAGTGGTATAATTGACTCCCACGCCGTAAGGCACTGAAGAAAGAAACAGAGATTTAGGAAATGGATTGTACATCAGTTCTTGCAACTTCTGACCAACTCTTCCAGACCAAAAAAAGCAAGTTCAAGTAAGGCTAGCCGGGTCTTCATAGATTATTACAGAACGGGGGGGGAAAAAACCTTAAACTTAAAAAATCTCAAACAGCATTAAAGCGTTCAGAAAGAATAGCTGCAGCTTCCAAAGAAAGAAAACAAATTAAAGCCTTCTAAAGGCATCATTTGGCCCAAACCACTGAAAATCATCAGAAGATCCAGGGTTTCCCCATACAAAGCTATAGTATTCTAAAGTGAAGAATATCACAGCTTTTGGCTAAGCAGACAGAGTTTCTAGCAGAAATTCACATCTTTCCAGTGTGATTGTGAGAGAGGGCTGATTTGAACACAAAGACAGCTATTATAGACTACCTCCAGCAAATTCACCATTCCAGGTTTTGGAGTCACTTCCCAAGCCCCATAATACTGACTCCAGTTCTTCTGCTGTGTATCTTTACTGTTTTTCAACCATGTACAGCCCAGAAGTCAAACTGGATAAATACAGACTGTAGAATACATATTATTAAAAACTGGGAATTGGCAAACTCATCACCAGGTCTTATATCCACCAGGCACTGCTGTCAACCATCTTCCTGATTGTACTCCAGGTCAATCAAGTTTTTCTAGTGGTGTAACCTGAAGTGATTACACACTTTACCACCAAAAAGCTTTCTTGCTGCAGCTACGAGATTTAACTGTCAATTGCAGAGGCAGTGCTGGATGTTCAGTCGAGTCTTTAACACCCATCTCCACAGCAGTCTCAGAAGACAGAAGAGACTTGGGTGAAGGAAGTTGTGGGACTAGTTATGAATTACTGACAAGGCAGACATTGGGCAACGGAAGAGTGTTATTAGTATTAAATGGAGAGGTAATCTAACACATGAAGAAATTTGTAAAGTAGGCGTGGAAAAAAGCAATAGGCAAAAAGTTGAAGTATGCCACCATGCATAAGCCTAGCAGTATTTAATATATCAATCACTGCATTGGGGAGCACTGTTCTAGCATGAAGCAAAACCAGATTGACAACATATGCAGCTAAACGTCAAGGCCATTAAAATAAACTGACACTGAATCTCAGGTACATATGCACCAACTTAAAAAGGGCAGAGGTACTTGACCAGGTATTTCCAGGACCAGCATAAAAGGGGACAGAGGTTAGAAACACTTATGCTGTATGCATACCAGGTGTAATCCATATAGGGACCCATGGATGGACATTAACCCATGTAGTTTGGTTCATAAAAGGCACTAGTATCAACAGATTTTCTAGTCCAACAGTATTATGAGATCATGCAATTTTGGTCTTCTTCATCACCACAGTTGTTGCCCTGTAATCTGTTCAATTCAAGAATGCAAGACAGCAAGCATCCATAATGAAAAGCTGCTACAGGGCTTCCTTCCAAAGGACGACTAGTCTTACGCAGGTCACTTGAGCATGACCAGCAACTCATGTTACACAAAGCTGTTGACAAAAAGCAGCTTCCACAGCACTAGAAAACTGATTAAATGCCCAAGATTCTTTTCTTCAAAACAGCATGAAGATTTCCTGCAAAATTATCACTGCCTTAGAGGAACATGAACTACTCATTCCTACCAACACTCCAGTAGTCCCACATACCTTCTCGTAGTACTGGATGTTTTTATCTGCCATCCCCATGAGTAGCTGCCTGAAGTCTTGTCTTTTGTTGTTCTGCCATCTCTCCATATCTGCTTTTAGGTCAGCATTGAAACACTCTACTCGGTCTTGACATTTCTCAACATCTGTGGGTACCTGCATCAAAAGAAAGGAAGATTTAAACTGTCATTTAGATGCCAGACTGCTGAATTAACTCAAACCTCACACAGCAAAGCTACAAAAGAGTTAAGTTAATAAATAGCCTGGTAGTTATCCTGAATAAACTCAGTTATAGCTGCAAAGAGAAAAGCCACAATTCTCTATTAGTGAGGGGATGGGATTGCTTAATTCGGCTGTTTGAGGCAGTGACTAGCTGTGCTTGTCCATCTCCATGCCAGATATGGAGGGAGACTAAAGAAGAGCTTGGTAGAGGTACATGGAGTAGAAAACCAGTAAGTGGTGCCTCAGCTCAATTCTTAGTTCTCAAACTGAGCAGCTTGATGCTCCAGAGCGCGCTTTCTCTCCTCCTTCCCATTCATATTTATACATATATTTATACACTAGGTGTTTCCCAATTTACACTGTGTATGAAACAACAAACCTTTAGGTTTGTCCAAAGAGCTGGAACAGAGAGATCAGGGTGCTCTCTAAACACACTACACAAACAGCAGTGATCAACTATGGCTACAAAATAGAATTCCTAAGCTTCTAGTTTCTAGCTTCCACTTTTAACATCACAGTCTGCCTGAAAAAAAGTAAATGCAGAGTGCTGATGATCATCACTGTAGATTGGCTCACAGCCCTTTGGGCCCAACAACAGACACAACACATAATCAACAGGAGAAATCTTGAAGGACAGTCTATTGTAAGCCTAGGTAGAGACTTAAATGGATTCTGACAGTAGCTACCAGCCCAAGGTAGATGCACTTTAGGCCAAAGAAGTTTGTGTTCTTTGCTTATGTTTTAATTAACATCATGTATACCACCAGGCAACCACAGGAACAACTCACAAATGTTTCTTCAAGCAGGAAGGCCACAAACACCTTTCTCTCCCTTCTCGTTGTGCTGCATGGTCCACACAGGCAGGAAGCCTGTAAGGACATGCAGACTAAGCCCACACCTCAGAAGATGAAACCCCTGAGCTCCAGCACCAACATGAGAAGTGAACTTCTGCTATGGAAACCATGACTTGCACAAAAGTAAAAGGCAGGATGAAGGACATCTGCAGAAGTTTGTAACGGCTCCTCCTACACCTGATGCTTTCAGGAGATTCCCTTTTTGTCTGAGGGGTGTGAAGGAATTTCTTTACTGAAAGAGTGGTGAGGCATTGAAATAGGCTCCACAGGTGGTGGAGTCACCATCCCTAGAGATGTTAAAAAAATGTGTAGATGTGGTACTTCAGGACATGGCTTAGTGGTCATGGTAGTGTTGGGTCAATGGTTGGACTTGATGATCTTAGAGGTCTTTTCCAACCTTAATGATTCTACAATTCCACAAAGGAAGAGGATGAACAAACTACATAAGCAGCTTTGAATGGTTAAGAATATAGGAAGTTAGAGGCGTGCTACTGCCCTGCAGTTTGGCAAGGTACATGACTTAGGGAGAAACATATCAACTCTGGCTCTTCTCCAGGATGTGGCTTAGGGTCAATCATTGAAGTATTGCTAATACTCAGAGAAGGTCCTGCAGCTGTACTCTCAACAAAGCTGTTTGAGTCACAGGAAGCATCTCCTTCATATTCATGGGATTGAGTACCACTTTATTCACACAACTGGATTTACACTACAGGCAGCTTAGGGGTTCAGTACCTACACACTGCCTCCGCACTCTCTGAGCACACTGCTTCTGGCTACAGAATCCACTCTGCTGCAACTCCAGCCATGAAGTTCTCCCATAGGCTTCAGAAGAGAACTACCAAACCAGTACCTGAAAGATTTAGAATTGGCTTCCTCCCCTCAAGGCAGGCATGCCTTTTGTCATATTTCATAAGTAGTCTGTTATCTCAACAGGAAAGACTAGGCTATCAAGAGACAAGTCATGAAGTGTGGAAGCAAAACCACTTAAGAAACAAACTTAATTGGCTTGGGAAATCTAAGTGCTCACCAGCTTCTTGCTGCTTCTGACAGGTTCTGAAACCACAGTGAAACTTTAAAGATAATCTTCTTTCCCACTGCCAGTTCTCCTGCAGGTCAGGCTGAGAGGGCTGTATGAGTTTAGAGCTACAGGGACAACCCAGTGGTCAGCAAATGGGTCACATATGCTCTGATTAAAGAACAACAGGAGTGAACTCCAGCTACGTCTCCACAGGTATCATGAAAGCAGTGGCTGCACATGCACTCATCCTATTTGGGAGTGTAAACACCTTTCTTTCCAAAACAGCAGCTTCCCAGAGTAGAAGTTGCAGCTCAGTAGCTGAAACAAAATTTTAACTTAATTAACAGCTTTTAAGCACTTCAGCTCTCTTCTGCAAAGCTAATGAAAAGAGGTTATCATTCTAACGTCAAATCTGGGCATAAGTTGAAACATCTACATTGGTGCTTTTATCTGCTTTTACCAGTGGAGATACTAAATATTACCTAGCAATTAGGAACTGAGAAAAGGACAACCGGATTTCGGGGGAAGTTGCCACTTCCTTAACTGATGGTTGCTCTCAGCTTCCTGAATAGCTAAAAAAAAACCCCAAACCCTAAAATATTGACAATTGGTTCAAACTCCAATACACTCTGGAAGGACCCATCACTGTTTTCACAAGTCAGTTTAAGCCAAGAAGAGATGCACATGCAGGTAAGAACGGAGTATGAAATTGTATATTCAGAATTCTGGTCATCTCATGTAAATTCTACACCTACCTCTATTCCTCATCACATAGTTCTTGAAGAGAACAGAGTACAAGCATGCCTTGCATGCAGAATTTAGCATGGTCAAGTGCATATGGCATTGCTTGGAGCATAAGCATGTCCACATTTTTAAAGTTCCTCTACAGTATCATTACCAAGTAGCAAAGACTTCTGAAACAACAAATTTAGCATTTGTTAGCTCTGTATATGACATTTCTACCTTCCTATTTCTCTGGAAACATACTGTTACAAGCCCTTTCCCCCCACCCTTCTGTAAGTACACATTCTCACTTTTTACTCCAAGCTCTGCATTGCCATATTCACTGTATCCTCAGATCACCATACTGCAGAGAGCATAAATTAGGTCAGAGGTAGAATTCATCTCACCAAAAGCAAACCATGCCTGCACTCCACTACATTTCTTGGATTACTTGTATAAGAAGGCCACACAGCAAGGCACACACAGTCCAGGAGGCTCCTGCAGTGCATCAGTGACTTTTTGACACAAGTGGTAGAAAAGCCAACAAGGAGAGGTGCGCTGCTGGACCTTGTACTAACAAAGAAGGTCTGGTTTGGGATATGAAGGCTGGGGGCAGGCTTGGATGCAGTGACCATGAGATGGTGGAGTTCAGGCTTCTGCACAGAAGAAGAAGCAGAGCAACAGGTAATACGGCGGCCCTGGACTTCAGGAGAGCTACAGTTGGCCTCTTCAAAGACCTGCTTCAAGGAATCACATGGGTTAGGGCTCTAGAAGCAGGGGGGGGAGCAAGAGAGCTGGTTAATATTCAAGCACCACTTCCTCCAAGCTCAAGACTGTTGCACCCCTATGAGATAAAAAAAAAAAAAAAAAATCAAGTAGAGGAGGCAGCAGACCTGTATGGGTGAGCAAGGAGCTTCTGAAAAAAAATCAAATGGAAGAAGGAAGTTTCCATAGAATGTGGAAAAAGGGACTGGCCACCCGGGAGGAATATAAGAATGCTGTCAGAGAATGCATGGATGCAATGAGGAAGACCAAGTACCTCTTGGAATTAAATCTGGCAAGGGATGTCAAGGACAACCAGAAGGGCACCTTCAGGTACATCAGTAGGAAAAGGAAAACTTAAGGAAAAGGTGGGCCTGTTGCTGAATGAGGTGGGTGCCCCAGTGACAGAGGATATGGAGAAGGTGGAGTTACTGAATACCTTCTTTGCATCCATCTTTACCACTAGGACCTCAGGAATCCCAGTCCCTGGAAGTAAAAGGAAAAAGAAGTCTGCAAGAAGGCAGACTCTCCCTTGTCAAGGAGGATGGGGTTAGAGATCATTTAGGCAAACTGGACACCCAAAAATTCTGGGTACCCACTGCAGTGCATGCACAAGTGCTGAGAGAGCTGGTAGATGCTGTTGCTAAGCCACCTTCCATCATCTGTGAAAGGTCATGGAGAACAAGAGAGATGGCAAGTCCTGGAGGAGCGACAATGTCACTCCAGTCTTGAAAAGAGCAGGAAGAAGCATCTGGGAATCTACAGGCCAGTCAGCCTCACCTCCATCCCTGGAAAGGTGACAGAACAGCACATTTTACATGTTGTCTCCAAGCATGTGGCGGAAAAGGTTATCAGGAATGGTCAGCATAGACTCACCAAGGGAAAATCATGCTTGACCAGTATGAGAGCCTTCCACGATGGCACAAGTGACTGGGTATATGAGGGAAGAGCAGTGGATGCTGTCTACCTCAACTTCAGCAAGGCCTTGAACACTACCTCCCATACCATCCTCACAAAGAATCCTAGGAAGAAGTATAGATTAGGTAAGTGGACAGTGAGATGGATTGAGAACGAGCTGAAAGGCAGAGTTCAAAGGGTTGTGATCAGCAGCACGGAGTCCAGTTGGAGGCCTGTAGCTAATGGAGTTCCGCAGGCGTCAGTACTGGGTCCAGTCTTGTTCAACATCTCCAACATGACCTGGAAGAAGGATGTAGTGTACCCTCAGCACGTTTACTGATGATACAAAACTGGGAGGAGTGGCTGACACAACAGAAGGCTGTGCCGCCACTCAGCGTGACCTGGACAGGATGGAGAGTTTGGTACAGTGTGTAGAGTCCTGGACTTGTGGAAGAATAACCTCATGCACCAGTACAGGTTAGGGTTTGACCTGCTGGAAAGCAGCTCTGTGGAGAGTTATCTGGAAGTCCTGGTGGACAAGAAGTTAACCATGAGCCAGCAGTGTGCTCTTGTGGCCAAGAATGCCAGTGGTAAAGTGGGGTGCATTAAGAACAGTGCGGCCAGCAGGTCAAGGGAGGTTCTCCTCCCCTTCTACTCTAACATCTTTATCAACGATCCAGATGAGGGGGATCAAGGGCACCCTCAGTAAGTTTGCAGACGGCACCCAGTTAGGCAGGTGTTTTTATCTGCTTGAAAGTAGTGAGGCTTTACAGAGGGATCTGGACAGGCTGGATTGATGTGCCAAGTCCAGTGGTATGAGGTTTAACAAGGCCATGTACTGGGCCCTGCACTCTAGTCCCAAGAACCCCAGGCAACATTACAGGCTTGGGGGAGAGCAGCCAGAAAGCTGCCCAGTGGAAAGACGTGGGGGTATTGTTTGATAGCCAGCTGGAGGTATTTAACAGACATGTAGATGTGGTGCTGAGGGACACAGTTTAGCGGTGACCTGGCAGTAGTGGGTTAATGGTTGGACTTCATGATCTTACATGTCTCTTCCACCAAAATAATTCTGTGATTCTTTCCAGTGGTGCCCAGTGACAAGACAAGAGGCAATAGGCACAAATCAAAATATAGGCATTTCCACCTAAACATGACAGAAAGTCTTCTTCACTGTGAAAATGACAGAGCACTGGAACAGACTGCCCAGAGACACCATGGAGTCTCCTTCTCTGCAGACTTTCAAAACCCACCCGGACACCATCTGTCCAACCTGCTCTAGCTGAACCTGCTTTAGCAGGGTGGTTGGACTAGATGATGGTCTTCAGAGGTCCTTTCCAACCCCCACCACTCCATGAAAACCAGATTCAGCATGGGTCAGAAATGGGCAAGAAGTACTTCACCACCATACTTGTAAGAAACACAAAGGCTACAGACTCTGCACTACTATTGTTACATTAGTGTTAAAAAAACCCACACACACTATGCTTTTGGGGTAGATTTCAGCATTCTGAGCAGTATTTGCTGACAAACATTTACAGTAGCCCTACAAGCTTTCTGCAATTCTAAGTCATTGAGTTCTAAGCTCATCTAAGCCAATCCCAACGTGAGAATGAGCTAATGACACCAACAGAGCTTTGTGAAACTAGTCTGACTTGTGTACAGCAAGTCCCAGCATGCCCTCCAGTGGAAGAGATTAACAAGTAATGACAGGCCCTCATTTTGTGATCCACAGGTAGGCCTTTTTCCCCTTAAGGTTTTGTTTAGGTTGAGTTTTGTTGTTTGTGATTTTTTTTGTTGTGTTGTGTTTTAAAAAAAAGCTGCCAAAGTAAAATAAATATTTAGTTGTCAAAGCCGCTAAATACACTGAAAGGAACACAAATGCTGTTCACTGCACAACCCAACTCATGACACTCTTCTGGCAAGTCACAGCCAGGAGACCTCAATGAATGCAAGGTGTACTGCTAGTAGCCACAGCTTTGAGCTACGAGGTTGTACAGACAAGGACATTCTTTCCAGGTGGAAAGGATCTGAAAACAACAAGCCAGTGTTCTATGAACATGCAGGGAGTTGTATTAGTACAACACACTGTACAACTCATAAATAAAAGACTTATGTCAGGGGAAAAAAAGGTATAAGGATTTCCCTAAAGACCTGCAGAGGAGATGTAAGTATTTGAAACATTCCCGGACAGCTTTCAAAATGCTGTGCTTTACACAATAATCCAACTCAGAGGCGAGATGCAAAAGCTTCTCAGTAGGTGAAAGATTAGCCAAGTTCAGCAGCTCCACTGCATCAAGTCAAATGCCTAAAAACCTCAACTGACTTGCTGGATATTCTAAATTTAGTTCCCTCTATCCCACATAAAATTTGATAGAATACCTGCTTGTACAAAGCTACAGTGAGGAAGAAGGAGATAGACTGTACTATTTGTGGAGTCTGTGACAGATATAAGATCAGAAAAATACTAGATAGTATTTTTATGCTTGGTTTCTTTTCAGTTTCTTAGGTTACAGACATTATGTCAATATTCTGTCAGATTATTGTACAGCAGTCGTAACGCTGGAAAGTCATCCATTAGCTATTTACTGAAAAAAGAAAAGGAACCAAAAAATCCCCAAGCATATAAAGGGAACAAAACTGTCATTGCTGTTGAAAGCTGCAGTGATTTAAGGCAGGGCTCTTGCATGCTGCTCCATGCAGAAAGCAGGTGGCAGCACAAGCACACCAGTTTACAGCTCTGCTTTTGCAGGAAACCCAGACAAAACCTGTCACCCAGTGACACCCATTATGTCTGTTCAGCATCACACAGGAAGAGCTCTCTAGCATAAAGGGCAAAACATGGGGTCTTCCACAGTCAAAACCAGTGTCCTGCAATACAGCTCAGCAGGGCCAGGGCCTGGACTGACCCTAACTCAGCGAGCTAACATACTGCCAAATCACAAGGGAACGTCCAACCACTGCTTCAGTCTGTGTCACTGAAATCTCCAAGTGATTTTTGGCTGTTGTTCAACTATTACACAGGTCAAAGCCACCCAACTCTGAACAGTGGGAGATCTGCAGTATTAAAGTTGCTAAACAGGTTATATATGCTCATACCTAGGTCTTTATTTCACACCAACTCGCCACAACTAACTTCTGCTCTCCTAGAAACTGCTTATATGCAAAGAAGCCACCAGACCCAGACAAAGGAAGTTGTTTTTCCATTCTTCTTAGGAAGTAATGTAAGTGCAAGCCTAAATTAATTTTTATAGTTTTAAGTACTAACCTTTGGACGGTCTTCCTTCTTTAAGGCTACTGCTTCGAGTTTTGCTTCATATTCCGCTTGAACTTGGTCTCTCTTCTTCAACACATTCTACAGGCAAGAGAAAACACAGCTGTGAGAGGGATCCCCGTCTTGTTCCTTCCCTCTCCAGCAGTAAGAAACTGCAAAGTGACACAGCTTAAATGCTAATTCAGTCCAAAGTTAGAGTTACTTTGTCCTATTTTACAATATTTAGGGAGTAGTCTTTAAAATAAAGAAGCATTTGCTTTGCAGCAGCTGGCAGGGTCAGATAAAATTCAACTTTTAGACAAGCTGGAGGCATGAAAGAGAGAAGCTGTCATGTAACCATTATCATAACCCTAAGTAAATTAAATTCATTGGTTGATTATTATTAGCACAAAAAGGATATAAACAAAAGCATAAAAGCTGTCAAGGCCTAGTCCAAAACTCATATCCTCATGCTCCAGACAGATAACAGCATGGGCTAGGAGACAGAAATGCCACCACATAAGATATTATATCTCCCTGTTCACTTCCAGACTCTTCCAAGTCTTTTATAGCAAGCTGTTGCATTCTCTCAGTAGAACAAAAGTAATCTTTGCTTTTAGATCAGCGGGAGGTTTGGTTGTTAGTTTACTTTGGAAAAATTATGAAAAGCACAATTTACATAAAAAGGACTGTACTACCTGAATGAGTTTCACAAGCAATAAACATTTTATTCATGGAATATTATCAGAATAAAGAGCAAAAGATGCTACCCTTATCTAGTACTACATCCACAAGGCAAGGCTTCCACTAAGGTTATATTATGGTCTTACAATTTAAAAAGTAAACACAGATATTAGTCTAAGAATATACCACTAAAAAATAAGCAGTTCGTGCCCGCAAAAGTGGGAAACTTCTTCAGTCTTCTGGTAATTTTTATAACTCAGTTGATGCTAAGTTATTACTAAAAACACTTAGAGGGAAGCTGGCTGACACTCACTGATGAGGCACCTGTAAACTTGAAATTTTTTTCAGACAACTTGGCGAGTTGATACTTCAAGTCCTCCCTTCTGCCATTCAGATAGAATTACCCCACTGAAACTACCCTATTAGGACAAAAGGAGGTTACTAGTCATTTTTACAGTTTCAGACAAGGCTAGTAAAGCAAGACTAGTTACGTGCACTGCTACATACAAAATATGTTTAAAATAGAGATCTTAGACTTAGAGATTCGAGAAGTCCTAAGTCCAGACAATACCTGTTTCCTAATTAAAGATGTACTTACCATCTATCTGTTAATCATCATCTTCCCCCTCTTCCCTCTTAAGCCGAGGGAAGGGCACCACTGCAGTTGCTCTTGAGCAGAAACAGATGCTGCAATCAATACTTACAAACCTCAGCCCATGATAAGTGGGAATAGCACTCCAACTACAATATTGCATTGGCTTAAGAAAAAAAAAGGGGGGCAAAACTGAAAAATTCACCTTCAAGAGCTTAACCCTGTCTTGGATGTAAGCACGCCATTGATTGTGTTTGCTTGAACAACCACAACATTCCCATTCCTTTTGGAACCAAAGCAACTATGTGGAACAGCCCTTAAGAGACTGTGGTTACCAATGCAACAAAAGCCTGAGAGATTTAACAGGTATTTCAGTATTGCATTGCCTCTTGAACCTGAGTCAACTGAAATTTCTCAGAAAAACTGCCACCAGCAATTGCATTCAGCCTTTAGGAGCCTGTAGCTGGTGCAGTGAGCTGGATCTGTACTAGGAGTAGCTAATGATTAACAGGTATCAGCATGCAAGATTCAAAGGGCAGGTGTCTTATTTCTTCTTAAGTGCTCAAGTTCATCCACTGTGGACCATCAACAATATGCTTTTGAATACAGCTTTGAGTATCTATTAATGGTCAACCCATAAGCAATGAGAAAAAAATACTGCCTTTCATCTATCCCAGATGTGAAAGGAAGCACTTCCTCTGGCACCTCCAGGCAATCTCTTTTCAATTGTAGAGCAAGCATTAAAGCTTCAGCAACCCTTATGAATAGCTCTGTACTAAGCATCCCCATGCATACCACAGCCCATGCAATACTTCCACTAGTTAAAGACTCAGACAAAAAAAAAAAAAAAAAGTTAAAAATAAGAGTAAAAAAAAAACACCCACAAGAAGCTGGAAGAAACCAACACTAGACAGGAAGAATTCACACATCGTATTTCAGTTATCTGGGGACAGAACTAAACCATTAATCCCTGTACAGGCAAGCAAGACTTGGCTTGCCTTCAGTGAGGCAGATCCTTCTCCTTTTTGTACTTAGTTGAAACATTCTACCTTAGCCCATATATCTGAAGAAGCTTCACGACTTTGCCACCAGACTCTTTTCTTAAATTGCAATTCTATGCATTTGCACACCTCAGTTTCCTACCGCAACTAGACTTCACAAGGGGATCCTTACTTACTGTGCACCTTTAGAGATACAGTTAGTTATTCATGAGGTGCTTGCATTAAACATGCATTGGAAGTAACGTCTCAGCACACAGCTGGGGATCACATCACCTCAGAAGCCCTCCTGGCAGTGTTAAGCCTGCAGAGTTTATTTTAATATCAGCACTGAATTATGTAGAGTGGAGGTCACTGGGACTGCACTGCTAGCAAAGATGATGGTCCCATCAGCAGCAGACCTCCTGCACTCCAAGAGTAGCCTCCCTTACAGTTACTTACTCAGTTTTATGGAGTCTGGGAAGCCAGTTCTGTAGCTGCTTACTGCAGAAATAGCATCAGACTGGTATTTTCTAGCATAAGAAAATTGCACTCGGTATGACCTGAGATATTTCAGGTTTGGTATTTGAGAGTGAAAGAACATAGGAAGTCTGCCTTGGCTAGCAGGAGATTTTATTCTTGATTTTCAGACAGAGTATAAAGCTAAAGAGATTCCCAAGCTGGACAGTAAGCAACATAGTTCTTATTTGCTAGTAACTGCTATTTCACAAGCATGGTTTCTAGATCCAACTGGTTCCAAAGCATCAAAAATATATTCAGCCCATTACCAGGGGAAAAACTGACAGGAAGAGTAAATCCTTCAGAGCAATAGAAAGTCAGCAGTCTAAAAACTAAGCTAAAAAGCAGGAGTTTCTTCAGCTGAAGAGGTACTTCTGGCAGTATATACCACTTAATACAGGGAAAGTGACATTAAAGACTTGCAGCTAGACTATCTATTGGCTTGGAGACTGCACTTAGTGTCTTTGCCATCACCTGACAAGAGCTCTTTTAGAATGGGGCTGTCTCCAAGCCAACAGGTAGTTTAGCTGCAACTCTTTAATGA